ACTCATCTGGGATGCCAGGAGAAAGCCCGGGAGGGGTGCAGACTTGCATCTTGCACAGTGCTGCTCCCCGTGGGGAAGCTGGAGGATGCCCAGGCCAGCGCCACACCGCATGCTGACATTTGAGCCAGGCAGGAAGACGGGCCAAGCCCGAGTGCCACGGATGTTGAGAAAGGTCCCCGCGACCTTGGCTCTAAAGCATGGTGGGGTTAGAGGCAGTTCCAGGGAAGCAGGATAGAGGCGTGAGATCCGGGCTTTAACCCGAAGACAGGGAGCAGAGCGTGTGGGGGACACGTAGCCTCGGCACGCGTCCAGCCTGGGGCTCTTCCAGCCTCTTCAGTGCAGGTACGTAACGGAGCCCTTCCTCTGCAGACCCTCCCACGGGGGTTCACAGTGAGCGCCGTGACTCTGAGCTCAAGACACGGCGTTTCACACAGTGATCGAGAGGAACAGGAGTCCCTCGGGTGCGGGCAGGAGGGCACTCGGGTCCTGGCCGTCTTGCTTGCCCGCGCCCAGCTAGGTTGGGCGTCCCCCTTCGAGCAGGGCCGAGGAGGAGCTGAGCTGCAGAGAAGTGCTGTCAATACGATGGGAAGGAGAAACTCATTTTCACATGGAATACAAGTTGAAGTGTTAGGTCCTATTTAAATAAGGGAGTGTAGAGAACTATCCCAGTGGTCAGAGGTTTTAGCTACCAAGGCAAAGGGAAGGTTTTAATGCCTCCTCTGTGTTTGACAGAAAAGGGAAATGTAGTTAGAGTCCGGAAACCACGTAATTTGGGGTGTATAACTAGAGCATACATGCTAGATAATAGAAATATAAATATTTTTATATTTTAATATAAAATAGTGTTAAATATATTTAACATAAGATAATATAGGAACTATTGTTTCTATATGTGAATATATAGAAGAAATAGAAAATCAAGAAACGAAGAGCAATCTCAAACGTATGCCAACTTGAAGCTTTACTTCAGGTAAAATTAGAGCGTGAAAACTACTGGACAACACGTGGAAATTGCAGCCCCACCAAACAACCAAAAATGGAGGCATATGTGACATCCTGCACCTTAATGATGCAAAGGTTACCTCTATTAAACATACACAGCACGTGTTGAAGTGCAATATGTATTTTATGTTGACCTCCACAGTCTGTTCTAATCAAAGGCCGCACCAATGTTTGAATGTGATTGATTTCAATGAAACCCACAGTTTTAGGGGCATCTGGGTGGCTCAGCGGCTGAGTGTCTGCCTTCAGCTCAGGTCGAGATCCTGGGGTCCTGGAATCGAGTCCCACATCAGGCTCCCTGCATAAACCCACAGGTTGGCTTTTTTTTTAAGATGTTATTTATTTATTCGGAGAGACAGAGAGAGAGAGAGAGAGAGAGGCAGAGACCCAGGCCGAGGGAGAAGCAGGCTCCCTGCGGGGAGCCCGTTGTGGGACTCGATCCCAGGACCCCGGGGTCACACCCTGAGCCGAAGGTAGACACTCAGCCGCTGAGCCCCCCAGGGATCCCCAAACCCACAGTTTTGATGTGAAACTGAAAAGCTGGTACACTGACAAGCACGCACACGTGGAATGACTCCCAGTAGACTTCATTTTGTTAAAAAGGATCCCGGATTGCTGCTAATGTTCACGTCTGAGGGAAAGACTGCGGTGATTCCATCTTTCCACTTGCAGGATCCCGAAGTGTGTTCTAAATCCGGGACTGTACACGGGGTGCCGGCCCTGGAGGGAGCCTCGGTGGTAGCGGCCGAAGCCTCTCGCTGCGGAGGTGACAAGCGTGAGGCGGGGAAACTGTGAGACATATGGGTCGTCGTGCGCCACACCCGCGGCAGCTAAGCTCTCCTAAACCAGGAGCACAGGCCGGGCCGCGGCCCGCGGTCCCAGGGGAGGCTCGGTCAGGGTTTCTGGAGCTCCACGGCCAGCTCCTCGGGCATTCCGGCTTTGGGTGTCTGTGCTCTCAAAGCCTCACGAAGCAAACCAAGCAGATCAAGGCTGCAGGGAGTGTGTTTGTGGACGGGGCTCCCGGGGACTGCTCTGTGGTGACCGGCCCTCCCTACGGCCGGGACGGGTGCTGGCACGTACCCTACTCCTTTGTTCCACCGGGTGGGTCGGGACTTCACCTTTACGGCAGGTTCCTCCAAGCCGTGGGGCCCCCGCGTTCACGGCCTCACGCTTCGGGGAACCAGAGTCCACTGGCCACAGTGGGGCCCGACTCCAAAGGCACCGCCTCTCGTCCCCGGCGCAGGGCTGGGGAGCGGCTGCCGCTGGGTCTCCCGGTGCCCCCCAACCTCCACAGGCCACTAACTTCCCCGAGGCCAGGCAGGCGGCCTGGCTCTAGCGTTCCTTAACCTACGGAATCCACTTACACTTGCGGACACAAAAAGCACTCCTAGGTCTCGTGTGTTTCCGTGTGCACGCCCGGCTGCACTAAGTCCTGTTGGCCAAGTGCACTCACGTTCCATGACCTCACTTAGAGGCACCGGGTAAGACCCGTGTGTAGCAGCCTGCCGGCTATAAAAGCCCGTGACTTGTGCAGACTTTAGGACCCTGGGTGATGCTATGTGAAGCAGAGGGAAAAAAATCTTTCCGAGTCACCTGGACTTGGCCAACACCCTGCCAGCTGGAGGCCAAGCTCTGGTGCCCTGCTTAGAGGAGACTGCTAGGACTTCACCTCTGCCCCGAGGAAGAGAGTCCACTCAGAGCATCTCCTCTCCACTGCTTTTCCCTGCTGAGATCAGAGAGTAAGCTACACACACACCTCTCCTGACCTCTGAGTGAGGTTTGGGTTATTTTCATTACATAATAACATTTATCTCACTTTGAACATTAGCGTAATTTTAGATGTTTTGTCCTTAAAAGGGCAGGCAACAGGGCCTCTTTGTACGTTTGTCTTCAGATTGCTTCTACATCCTGTCTGATGTGTGGTTAGATCAGCTGATGAATCATGTGATGTTTTGCTGCTTCAGATGACAGAAATACAGACAAAATAACCAGAGAAGCATCTCAAATGTTTACTAAACACGTTGCTCAGAAAGCATGCTTTTCTATGATCCGCGGGCTGTTTATGACAGACCTGGGTGAGGGTGGCTGCCTAAGGGAGGCGGGGGCCGGTGGGTTTCAGGGAATTGGCTGCAGGTGGGACACAGTTGTCTCCACCTTCCGAAGACCTGCCCATTGCAAGCTGGGTGACCCCAAAGGGGGTGGGACTTAGAACATGAAAGGCCCCTTGTACTGGGCTGTGCCTCACTTTGAAACCTTCATCCTCTGTTTAGGGGTCAGCCCACTTGCAAAACAGGAGGCCAGAAGCCGTGGCTGGTTGGAACACGACAGCATGTGCTGTCCTGGGCACTGGCCTCTTAGAGACTGGCTGAGGTAGAAAGATTTTTTAAATACTTCTCAAGGTCTTGTAATTTAATTGCAAGATTATAAATACTATTTCTCTTGCAACCACAACCTCTTGGGCTCTCCCACTTCAGTCTGAATAAAGGAAAAAAAATACAGCTGGTCAGAGAACTACTGAGTCTTTAAATTGTTTTGTTTCTAGAAACTAAGAACACCAAAAACAAACAAACAAAAAACCCTTACTCTCCTCCTCCTTTCCTGTAAGAAAACACCCTAAATGGGGAACAATGAGGGTAGGGAGCTGTTGAGTTGTATTTTTTAAAACTTTACTTCTTAACTCTAAGCTATCATTGAAGAACTTCCGTCGTATTTGGGAGATGTAATGACTATCCCAACCCTGAGAGATCCAGAAAAGGCTGCTTGTGAGGACCCCGGAGCCGGACCCTGGTTGGGAAGTGCCATGGGGTCTGGAGAACTTTCAGCCTGATGGAGCTGGGCTTTGGTGGAGCCCCTCCCTCCCCGGGCGTCCCTCCTCATAGGCCCCTGCCCTCCACACCTCCCAGAAGTCATTTATCGGTTGGACTCTAAGAGTTTTTGAGAACGTGCGTTTGCTACCCTACCGAAGCCTTCCTTGGCCCCACCTGGTACCGCCTAAGCAGCCCTGAAAGCTGCTCTAAGGGTATCAACCATCCGTGGCCATTTCCAAAGCCAAGCCACCTGCCAGGGCTGACACAGAAAACAAAACGCAGAACGAGACGACTTCTGGAAGAAGACAGACCCAACACAGGCAGCTCGAGGCCATGCCCGGCTGCTGCCCGACATACACCAATGGCCTTCCAGAGTCCCAGAGAGGCCAACGTCCAAACCTCACAGCACTCCCTGAGCCTCACGACCAACAGGTCCAACCCTCTCCCGACTTCCCTGGAGCAAGCCTCGCCTGGTTCCTTCTGCTAACGTCTTGGGCATCTGATTCCCGGGGCCACCACGCTCCAAGTGGAACAGAGCAGATGGCACTTGCACGTTTAGAACGACCTGGCGCATGACCCTCAAAAAAGCAGAGAGGCCACAGAAGCAGCTGCTCCGACCTGGGAACACCCTCAGGGTGGAAAGCCTGCTTTGAGCTTCCCCCAAGGCAGTCCTCCGCCCTCTAAAGTCACGCTGGGCTTGTCATGGTCCTTGACCTGTGGCTCTCGTAGGCAGCACGCCCTTCTCATCCTGTCAGCTGAACGAGACTTGGAGTTAAGAAGAAACCTGCGGGGGAAATCTTTGGTGGGCAATGTAAAAGGGGTGCTGCTCCCACCCCTGAAAGTGGGTTAGGGTGGATGCAGACAGGCCACGGTGTGTCAGGCCGTGAGTTAAGCCCAAGTGAAGGAAGCGCCAGGGGTCGGCGTGCTTCCGGGTGGAAGGTTTCGGACACGATCTCTACAATGTCTGTCATCATCGTGGTCTGGGTGTGGGTGGCTTCCTGTGTCCCCTGGGCAGCCACATATTCACTACCTGTGATGTTCACCCCTGACGGGTCCCTGAGGCCCATGCTCTAGTTGCATCATGAGGCGTCTCTAGCTGCTCTCTCCCCGACTTTACAGAGAGAGGAAGAAGTGGCTTTCACAATTTGATCTCTGAGCTCCAGCCCCGCAAGCATGAGATAGTCACACACGTTAAAAAATACTGCTGTTTAATTTTCTAGTCATGTACTTTTAAAAAGCTGATACTATTAGACGTTTTTCCCCCCGTCTTGTCAGATCTGCCCCTGCACCGCCTGCGAGCTCCGCGTCTTAGTTTCCAGCACTCATGATACGGAGGAAGTCTCTGAGGAAGCTGAGAAGTCTGTCCCCACAGTGGGCACACCCAAGGTCACTTGTCCGGAGATGTGGACGCGGCCCTGTGATGTTCGTGGCTGGCTTTATGCCCTCACGTTCTTTTTTGTTTTGCTTTTTAACGAGGAACAATATGGTTACACGTACTGAGAACAATGAACACAGAAGGCTTGTCTGTTTTCTTTCCTTCTTTGGCCCTTCCAGTGTATGTTTGCATTCCCACTGCTGTCTAGGCCGGCTGGCCCCATTCCTACCCGTACCCATAACGAAAAATAGTTGTCTTGTCGCGTACCGATCCTTACATTTATATACAAACGACAGACTCCAAAACTGCTGTAAATAACATACAATGTTCATTGATACAATACGTCTCAACTGCAGGTCTGGGGAGCACACAAGCAATCAACCGTATTGTATTAGAGACATTTTATTGAAGATGCGAAAATAGGAAATGTATTATAGCCTAAAATAAATTACATAACATATACAGTATATATTTATATCTTTAAAATATTTTTGTTTAGGTTCTTCCCGTCTAGGAATTTTGACTAAATCAAGAATTTAGTGAACTGTGTCCGTAATTTTTGTAAAGAAAAAAACCCGCTTTCCAAAACTTAGAAAAATAGACTGCACTACGTGGATTTCAAATGTGTCACCCGGGGTGTCCCCACGACTCTGCGGCCTACAAAGTGTGTCGCCGCGGGGGGCCTGGGCCGCAGGGACGGGTCTGGGCTGGGGCGGGCGAGGCCGGGCGCTTCCTTCCCTTTGGGACTAAGCGGGGCTCGGGCCCTCCCGGGGACGCTGAGCGGCGGCGGGTGCAGCCCCCGGGGCCCCGAGCCCGACCCCAGCACCGCCGGGGCTCTGCAGCCCGCCCCGCGGCGCGTCCGTCCGTGAGTCCGTCCGTGAGTCCGTCCGGGCGTCCGTCCGCCTTCGCGCGGGGCCGCTCTGCGCGGGGGCGGCGGGCGGGGGCGCTGCGGGGGGCGCGATCCCGGGGGCAGCGGGGGCGCCGGGGGAGGCCGCGGGGTCCTCGGGGGGACGCGCGGGGCGGGGGGGCGGGGGGGGGGCGCGGCCGCCGTCCTTGGGCCGCGAGCGCAGATTGTCCGAGGGGAGGGGGCGGGGGGACACGTGGCCGCGCTGCCCCCGCGCTCAGTCGTTGTCCCCCCGCATCTCCACCGCGTCCGCGCCCTCCTCCGCCGGCGGGATGTCCGTCATGGCCGAGTCCTCGCCCTCCGCCGCCGGCTCGCTCTCCATCTTCTTTTTCTAGACCCAAGAGGACTCCTGAGCGGGGCCCGGAGCCCGGAGCCCGGAGCCCGGAGCAGGGAGGGGTCCCCGCGCCCGGGGTGACCTGGCGGCCGGCTCAGCCCGCGTCCCGCTCCAGGCCCTCCAGGCTCCAGGCCCGCCGCGCAGCGTGCAGGGGGCGGCTCCCCGCGGCCTCCGCCCGCAGCCCCCGCCCCTCCCTCCCCCGCAGCCCCCGCCCCTCCCTCCGCCCGCAGCCCCCGCCCCTCCCTCCGCCCGCAGCCCCCGCCCCTCCCTCCCCCGCAGCCCCCGCCCCTCCCTCCGCCCGCAGCCCCCGCCCTCCCTCCGCAGCCCTCTCCCCTCCCTCCCCCCCTCCCCCCTCCCGCCACCCGCCTCCCCTCCAGGCCGCCGGCTGGTCTCCCCCTGCTCCCCGCCTGCCCCATCCTGGCGCCCGCCGCCAGCCCAGCAGGACCGGCCCCGCCCCGCCCCGCCCCCCCTCCGTGGGGCTCCCCTTCTCCAGAGTCCCACCCCCCACTCCTGGCTCCCCGGAGACCCCGACATTCTCCACAGCCTTGGCGTCAGCTACAAGGACTCGGTCCTCACCTCCTGCCATGCCCGGCCCCTGCCCCAGCCTTGGGCCTTCTCTCCCCTCTTATCCGCCCAAATGAACTTTCCGTAATTATAAACACTTCTGGGCCCCGCCCCTCTTTCCCTTAGTCCCACATGCAAGCAAAACCCCGACCTTGGTTGGGTCCAAGCGTCTCCCAAGTCCAGCCCTTGCCCCTGCTGCCGCGGCTGGGGGACCACACAGGTGAGCCCGGCACCCATCCTCGGGCCCCTCCCGTCTCCACCCCCACCCAGTCCGTCCTGCTCCCTAGTCATGGTCTTAGGACTCAACCCCTGAACAGGTAGGCGACCCTGCAGGATAACAGCTCCGTGCTCAGGGTGCAGAGTGCCCAGTGTGTAGGTGGGTGCGGGCGCGTGGTGGGCAGCTGGGAAGACTTCCTGGAGGGGCCTGGGGCTGCAGGCTGAGGAGAGGAGGCGCTCTGCCGAGGGGAGAGGGCATCCTGACCCCCCACATTTTCTGGATTGGTCCCTCCTCAGCAATAAAGTCTGAGCGGATAAGGACTCAGAGGATGGATGCCTTCAACGGGAAGCACGTTTTGAGCACATCCTGGCATCATTAAATCAGTATTCAGTGTCTATGACTTGAGGTTGTCGCGAGGCAGTACCAGGCCGCAGGGCTGCATCCTCAGCCAGGCATGGCTCCCGGGCCATACAGCTGCCCCAGGAGACAGGGCGGGACTAGGCCGTGGGGCTGCATCCTTGGCCGTCGCTCCTGGGCCATACTACTGCACAGATTAGTGCAACACCGGGTCCCCTTGTTACTGCCCTGACCTGGAGCCCAGGTGCTCCGGCCTAGAGGGTCCCTGGGGCTCCCATGAGCAGGGTGCACCCGGCCGCAGTGGGGCATGAACGAGAGGCGCCACCCCCTCGGCCGCCTCCCCCAGGGCCCTCGGGGAGCCACTCAGGTTCCCCCCTCCCCGGGGTGGTGTCCCTGCCCAGGCAGGTGTGCGGGTCTGGGGCCAGGCTCACCTGTTTCCGATAGACATAGCACGCGGCTATGGCGACCATGGTGGACTCTCCCACAAAGCCTGCCAGGAGGGAGCCCACACCCAGGGTGGCCCCATGCACGCTGTGGAGGAGAACACAAGGGCCGCGTGTGTCAGCCACACCAAGGCACAGACGGGCGGAGATGCAGGCAGGGCATAGGCAGGGGAGGGAGCTTGCAGGAGAGCCCAGGTGAGACCTGCGCGGGACAGGAGCCACCTGGTGGGACCTGGGGCTGCGGGGTGAGCCGCCCCCACCGCCCTCCCCGGGCTGCACCTGGGCCCCCGCCCTCCCCACCCTCGACTCCGGGCAGAGGTGGGCTCTGAGGGTGGGGTCACCGCCCTTGCTCCCTGGTGTTTGGCTCTTCCCGCCCTGCCACCCGCAGCAGGTGCTTGGTGAAGGGCGAGCAGGCCTGACCCTGAAAGTACCCTTTTCTAGAATGCTGCTGAGCAGAGAAAGGAGAGCTCAGTCTGCACTTCTAACTATAGACACACTTGGGGGACGTACTTCAGTGGCAGAAGGACCCACAGCCCCAAGCCCCCGACAGCATACCCCAGGTAGGGCAAGACCACGAGGCTGGTGATGAGGACGATGATCCGCAGCACGGAGCTGGGGGCCAGGACGAAGGTCTTCTTCAGGGTCATCAGCCACCCGGTGAGATGGGCCCTCACGGTGACTGAGGGACACAAAGGACTCGTCAGCGACACCCTGCGTCTCCTGGTCCTCGGCCTCTCCCCCTGCCTCGCCAGCACACCCGAGGCCGTGGGGTGCTGGGTGAGGACACAGGCCTGGCTGCCGTCGCCCTGGGCTGACCGCCGCACCTCCTGCCAGGCTTCCTGACCCTGCTTCTGGGCCCTGGGTAGCCCCGACCCGACCCGGGCTCCAGCCTCATTGCAGCCCTCAGCGTCCAGACAGAGGCCTGCAGGCAGCAGTCACTCTCCACTGTCACTGCCCCCATCCATCTTCGCTGGGCCTGCTGGCCCCTGGGATGCTCCCCCAGCCCTGCCCCTGCCCCCCCAGCCCTGCCTCATGCTCTGATGTCTCTTTTCTAGGAAACACTGAACAGTGACAACTTGCCGGCCATCTGGTTTGACTGCGGGTGAGGAGGGAAGCTGGACCAGAGGCCCCATCTTCCAGAGGGTGGGGGAGCAGGGAGAGGGAAGGCGGGGGCACCCTGGCCATCTCCTCTTCCCCTTCCCTCAACTGCCCACCCTGTCTCGATCTGCAGTGCCCTCCTGCACTGTCTCCCATCCACGCTAGCGAAGTGCAGGGTCAGGGCGCCCGGCCTGGGCACAGAGGGATGTCGGGACGGGCAGCATGGGAAGCACAGGCCCCAGCAGGAGGATGTTTAGATTTGGTCTGAAACTGCGAGGGGCGGTTGGAGGCTGTGGCCTGGTCCTCTGTCCAGGGTGGGCAGCACCAGGCAGACCTTGGAGGGGCGGAAGTGTTCACTCGTGTCCAGGGTACGTCTGGAGGGAGACTCTCCTGTGCTCCTCATCTAACGGGCTGCCCTGCCTGCCCCAGGTGGAGGCCTTGGGCCTGGCTGAGGCTGAGGGTAGGGCACACACTGCAATGCTCGTTGGCTTGGCCTCAACCCGAAGTTGTAAAGGCAACAGGGCCCTGACGGCTGGCTGGAAGCCCTCGTTACGACACAGAAGTGAGTTGAGAGATTAAAAACCAGTCCAGGGGCGCCTGGGCGGCTCAGGGCACGACCCCAGGACCCTGGGATCAAGTCCCACATTGGGCTCCCTGCTCAGCGGGGACTCTGCTTCTCCCTCCCCCAACCACGTTCTCTCTTTCTCTCTCTCAAATAAATAGAATCTTGAAAGAAAGAAAGAAAGAAAGAAAGAAAGAAAGAAAGAAAGAAATCCAACCCAAAGGAAGAAACCAGTCCAGTTGCAGCTGGAGTTGTCCGGGGCTGGGCTGGGTCTGGGAAGGAGCAGCACGTGTCAATCTCCAGGGGAAGCAGCCTCCTCTAGGGGTCACCTTCCACGGCCTGGCTCGCGCGGGGACCTCCTGGCAAGCACCAGACTCCACCCCACGGCCACGCCCTCCCACCCCTCCCACAACCTGAGAGGCCCGGCCCCAGGAAGGCGTCGAAGAGCAGGGGTGCTTGTGGTCCAGCTCAAGGATGGCACCACAGGTCCGGGCCTCCTCCTAGGCTACTTCTCAACTTGGGCTTTGTCAATCCTGCCTTCCCGGTGGAATGATTTAGTGGATTATTTGGGCAATAGAAAGATTCTATTTTCAGGTAATCTCTACACCCCCCATGGGACTCGAACTCACAACCCCGAGATCAAGAGTGGCATGCCCTTCCGTCCGAGCCAGCCAGGCGCCCCGGGCAGTAAATTTCTGAATAAGTAACGAAACCCACTTGGTACGGAATTAAAAAGGTGAGGAAGGGAATACAGTCCCCGCCCAGGCCCTGGTCCCGCTTCCAGAGGCAGCCACGGCTGCCAGTTGGGCGAGTTACTTCTAGGAACAGCAGGAGTGACACGCGCTTACCTGAGCATCACACACACGTATACAAACGCGTGTGATGCACCTGTTGCGGGAAAGGCAGCTCCTGCTGACCCCCGTCCCGCAGCCTGCGCTTCCCGTTAATAAAGTATAAAGCACGGCCTCACTGCCGGGCGGTAAGCCTCCGCCTACCCGATCAGGTTGGGAGTTTTCAGACGGGCTTATTTTTGGCTACGGATTTTTCCTCTCTGGCCATTGGCCTCCTGGCCTCGGCCCTGCCCCCAGAGTCTTCACTCCAGCTGCTTCTGCACATCTGCAGGGTTTACCAGCCTGCCTGCCTTCTATTTTTTACGTTACTTTTTAAATACCGTATTATAAAGCCGACTTTGGAGCACAGAGCTCGAAGAATCTTAAGCCCTGCACTGCTGTGTGTGGCCTGGCCTCCACCAGGGCACGGGCAGCCCCGCGGCCCCCAGAACCCCTCACGTTGTCCCCCCGGGTGCACTTCCTTTCTCCCGTGTCTGCAGCCTCAGTCCTTGAAGACACAGTGTGGCTGCTGTCCCATTTGCTTCTGGAACTCGCCACCCACTGGGTAACGGGGGCACCTCTTCAATCCACCGTGAGATTTTATGGTTCTGGGGGGACATGATCGCAAGCCGTTCTAAAGACAGAAGACCGAGTCGGGCCTGAGGGTGGCAAGACTTTCGCTTCCCTTCTCTGTCTTTACCTGGAACCGGGAAGAAGGAGAAGATGCGCAGGGGAACCACACACAGTTCTGCAAAGGCGAAGTCCACTCCAATGATGTCTATTAGGATTTTCTCGGAAACGTCGGGAGTCCAGAACATCACGAAGCAGAGCTGGGGGCAGAAGGGACAGTCAGGACGCCAGGAGGTGTCTGGAGACGCCCCCGGGGGGCCAGGGAGGAGGCGAGCCTGCCCCCCAGTCCTCACAGTGCCCCCGTCCTGCTCCGTCCTCGCCTCCAGGCCCGCGCCGGGGACCCTCCTGCAGAGGGGGGTGCACGAGTGGGCCGCGGGCTGGCGGGGCCCAGCGAGCTCTCACGGAGGGCCCTACGGGCCGTGAGCAACTGGTGGGCGCAGGTGACCGCGCTTTGTCCTGGGGGTTTTACGGCTTGAACCAAAGAGTGAGCAGTGGCCCGGAAGCAGCTGCAGTGATGGGCAGGCGCAGGGGCCCGCTGCATGTGCGCCCCTCGCGGAACCGGCAACAGTGATGCTGAAATTAGTGGCCGTTCGGGGCTTGTCGAGGCCTAGTTATGGGAGCAAGGGAAGTGCCGCGCGCTGTGCACTGCCGGGCAGCAGATGGGCAAGGAGCAGCTGACGCAGATCGTGTTTACCTGACGGGTGGCGGCGGGCAGCGAGCTGCTCCAGCCCTTCCCTCCCCGCCCCCCATCAGGAAGTGTGGCCACGGGCCCTTCTGGACGTGGGGCGAGGGCAGGGCCGACAGCAGGCTGGTGGGAAGTGCAGACAGCAAGCAACCTGTGCGCAGCTGCTGACCGTGGCTCCTGGAACTTCACCTCTGGACAACGTAAGAGGGGCGGCGAGGGCACCAGAAGCCGGGCATGCAGGGAAGGGAGGAGGGCAGGGAGGAGGGAAGGCCCTGTCGTCGTCCCCTGTGTGGCTCCCGGGGTTCCCAGGCCGGAGGCTCCTGGTGAGCACCAGCCCCTGCGCCTGACCAGCCACCACCAGTCGGCTCCTGATGCCCGCCCATTAAGATGAGGACGAGCAGGTCAGCCTTTGAGGAAGGCCTCTGAGCTGAAGAGGCTAAAACAAAGGGGAAAAACTGGGAGGAAACAGAGACAAAGCAGAGAAGCGGAGACGGACCAGGGTGCACACACGGGGTGGGGGGTGGGGTGGGAGGGACCCACTGACGCTCTCAGAGCGATAGAAGATCCTGCATCCAGGAAACAAGGACCAAATGGAAATGTTATTTTAAAAAGGCATTCAAAGAACAAGAAAGCACTTCTGAAAATTAAAAGATTAAAATCAGAAATAAAAAGTGCACAAAATGACAGCAAGATAAAGTTAAAGAAATCTACAACAATGACGGAGTAGGACAGCGACATGGGAAGCACACGAGAATGGGCTTAAAAAATAAAGGAGCAATCTAGAGGCCCCACATTCGAATAATGCGAGTTCCAGAAAGAGAGAACAGTGAAAACCTGAGAGCTGAATGGCGCGGCCTTAAGACCACCCTGGGCTCCCTCAGGTGGACGGAGCAGAGGAGGAGGAGGAGGAGGAGGAGGAGGAGGAGGAGCAGGAGGACCGCTGAGCGGGCGCCCACGGGGCTGGGGGCAGAGAGCCGGGCCTGGGAGCTCCCTGCTGCGGGCAGAGACTCGGAGCAGGTCAGGAGCAGAGACGCCCATCCTAGGGCCAGAGCAAACCATCCACCTCACGTGTTGGAAGGAGGACGTCTTCAGACGCTCAAGGCCTCAGAGGATTTCTGCCTACACACACCTTTCAAGAAGCCTCTGCACTACCTCTGCCAGAGCAAGGGAGTCACAGACGAAGAAAAAGATACAGGATGGATCTCAAGGAAAAGTCCTGAGGGGAAGGGTCCCTGGGGTGGGGTCAGCGCAGGTCCCATGAGCGCCGGGAAGGCCCCTGGGTCGGCGGGTTTGCACTGGAGCTGCCGGCATTTCTTCAGTGGAGGGCGAGTACACAGAAAGCCAAGAAAAATTATAAGCAGGACAAAGATGAAGTCCAGGAAGACCTATAATTTTTTCAAGGAAAGAGCCTGGGGGGCTCAGGTCGTGACCTGGGGTCCTGGGATCGAGTCCCGCATGGGGCTCCCTGCATGGAGCCTGCTTCTCCCTCTGCCTGTCTCTCTGCCTCTCTCTGTGTCTCTCATGAATGAATAAATATAATCTTTAAAAAAAAAGAAAAAGAAAAGAAGGGAATCAGAGCTCGGCCGTCAGAGGTTGCCCTAGTCGGAATCCATGGAGAGAGCTGCGGGGGGCGGGGGGTCTGGGAGTTCGGGAGCGGGAGGCGCACAGGCTAGGGGAAGGGCTGTTGGCCACAATCCTTGGCTTTGTGCGTGTGTAGTTGCTCAAAAAACTCGGAATTAAAAAATGTAATACAACTTTGGAAGAGAATGCTCAACACCTGCCATTTCCATCAAATATCTTTCTTTCTTTCCTTCCTTTCTTTCTATATTAGCTATTTCAAGAGCGACAAGGAGCAGTGGGGAGGGGCAGAGGGAGAAGCACAGTCCCGCTGCGCAGGAAGCCTGACGGGGGCTGATCCCAGGACCCCCAGGACCCCGGGATCATGACCTGAGCCGAAGGCAGACGCTTCACCGACTGAGCCCCCCAGGGGCCCCTTTCTTTCCTTTTCTTAAGGTACAAGTGATTCTTCTTTAAAATGAAAGTGAATACGTTACAGTATGAATCACAATCATGTAAAAACAAAACGCTGAAATTTTAGAATAGAACATCCTTTAGGCTCTGGGTAAATTAAGTTTCATGGAATTAGGCTGGTCCCATTAACTATGTCGCGCTGAAATATTTTCTCAGCTATCTCGGAAGATCTATTATAAATACGTTTCCCCTTATAAAGGTAATGGAGCTTTTATTCTATCATGCATTCTTCAGCATCTGGAAAGAATATTCTGTTGCTTTTCAAAAATGACAGATGTACAATCGTTTAACCCTCCTGCCTGATGCCAGCACTCACACCCCATTTTTGACGTGAAGGGAAAATGCTTCCTTAGATGTAGCAACCCAGAGTGCAGAGCTTTATCACCCAGCGGCCTGGACACGCGGCCCCGTCATCGTTCCCATCGCGGAGCTGCCAGCCTGAAATGGGGAGGTTCCCGCCCACGGCTCGGGGAGGGTCGGGGCAGGGCGGCAACTCCACGTAATTATAACTTCAGGAGGACAGTGAGCGCGAGACTGGGAGGGACACAATGCACTTCCCTGATGAACAGATGGATCATCTCTCCTCCCAAATATTTTCCATCGCAGTAAAGCTGTAAAGATGAAGATAAGCGAGCATCGCCCCAAGTCTGGACCTGCTCTGTGTCCTAGGACCTGTGGGGGGCACGCCATCCTGGGTGTTCCTGGCTGGTGGGACATACCCAGGGCATGTTCTCCTAAAACCCGGAGACGCCCTGGTACGCCGTCTTTATTCTATAGCCAGCAGTTATCTGGAGGCGAGATCACGCCGCACGCTGCGATCCCTGAGATCTGGAAGTCACTGTAAAGTAGCCTTGACGTTTCAACAGGCCAAGGACAAAGGAGGGTGTAACTGTGCATGAGACAGGACGGTGCAAGCAAGCATCGTGGCCAGGCCAGGCAACTCCTCCCTCTCGCTTCTCCACGTGGATAACGTTCACCTGGAAGCTTTTTACCGCCTTGGACCAGACTCTCCGTAAACCTTTGAAGGGGGATGTCCAATCTGAGGACGCAGCAGCAGGGAGCACGCCCACGTCACGCGAGACGTTTACACGGATATTAACCTGGATGGGTGGCCACCGTCCTGGTCCCCTGCAAACAAGACGCTGTGATTTGGCGGGTCTCTCACAGGGCCCCCAGGAGGGTGGCTTTGATGTTCCTAAAGTTCCACAGTATTTCACTGGGACCCGCTGAGCCTCGGCTCTCCGTCTGTGCCACGCGCACCTTAAACGTCCCTGCCAAGGCTGCATGCACCGAGGTGCCTCTTCGGAGCTTTCAATCACACGCACACGCACACCTAGAGTCTAGACTGGGTCTTCCAGAGCGAGGTAGCTGAAGGCCGCCAGTCTGGGCTGGGTGTCAGCAGTCCCAAGTAACCATTCAAAGGGAAGGAACACGACCTATCCCCAAGCTCCCTTTCTTTTCTCCCCAAATTTCTAAGTATGCCCTTTGTCTGGGCCATGCTTCCAGGTGAAAATGCCCCTTGTCTTCCAGCAAGTTCCTCAAAAACTGGCTACTTCCTACATTGCCCAGCAGGGAAGATGTGCAACCTGCAAGTAGGTGTGGTGTTGCTGAGCAGCTCAGTACCTGTCTGCTGGTCAACTTCCCCTAAAAAAATAATCATCAGATCACATTTGACCAGCCTGTTTCAGAAAACGAGAAGCTTCAGAAGTGAACCTAACAAAGAACATCTCAGGAAAAGTGTCAATCCGATGGGTCGCCCGGAGGAGGCTTCCCTCAGAACGTGCCCTCCCAGCTGACCACAACATGCCGTGTTCCTCAAATATTTGCAGAGCCTAATGACATTGACTTTTCCAACCAGAACACAAACCCAATAAACTGACAATGAACACTATTTGTTCTCCTTGGAGCAGGGGTTGGGTTTTTATTTATTTTATTTTATTTATTTACTTTTCCCCTGCAGAGCTTGCTGTCGACATTATCTCATTAGGAAGCAGCCAGCACAATGGAACAACCCATTGGGTGCCCAGATCTGGGTTTTCCTGTTTATTCTCTAATAAAAGGAACCAGGCAGGGCTTCTTAGAGAAGCGGCTTATCCTAAGACCAGGGCAGGACATAAACCAGGTGATCGGCTTGGAAACTGTGTCAGGGGACACAGGAGCTCAGCACAAGGCTCCCAATAGCTGAGGCTGGAAGAGTCTGAGCACAGAATAATACAGCATTGAGTTACGGCCCGGAGTACAGACGGAGCTACCCACGAGTCCACACTGATATAAATAGGGACAATCGCCCGTGTAGCATGCCAGAGGGTTTACGTTATTGGGTAAGGACCCAGGGAGGTGGAACGACAGCAACCTCCTCCTAGAGACAGGAAAGGGGGAACGCATGCCCACGGTGGGGAACGCAGGCCGACACGGCAGCCGACAGCCGTTAAGTCACGCTGGCAGCATCAGCATGGACTCTTGACAAGATGGGACGAGTGCACG